CAGGTTGTGGCAGGTGAAACAGACCAGATTGAGATGCTTCCACACCTGATCCACACCTTATCAACCAGTCGTCGAGGTATGGGTAGATTTGGACTCCCTGATGTTGCAGGTAAGCGGCCACTGGCGCTATACACTTTGTGAACACTTTCGGGGCCAACAAGAGACCACAGGGCATCGCCATGAACTGGAAATGGCGATGGCCCAACATGAAACAGAGGAAACGTTGGTGCCCCAGCAAGATGGAAATATGGAAGTAGGCATCCTTTAAATTGAGGGCAGCGTATCAGTCTCCCGGATCCAGGGAGGGAATAATAGAGGCCAGAGAGACCATATGAAACGTCAACATTTTGACAGACTTGTTGAGGCAACACATGTCTAGAATAGGTCTGAGGCCCCCTTTTGCCTTCGGAATTAGGAAGTAGCAGGAGTAAAATCCTCTTTCTTCCATGTTTTGTGGAACCTTTTCTACTGCTCCTAGGCACAAGAGGTTTTTGATCTCCTGAACGAGGAGTTGCTTGTGAGAAGGGTCTCTGAAGAGGGATGGGGAAGTGGGGTGGAAGGGTTGGTCGGCTATAAACTGCAGGGTATAGCCTGATGAGACAATGTCGAGCACCCAGCGGTCCGAGGTCATATGGCACCAGGCCAACAGGAAAGGGCAAAGGCAGTTGAGGAAGACAGGGAGCGGATCTGGTGCACTGACTGGGGCGTCGTCCTTGGACGCACCCTCAAAATGACTCCTTTTGGCTGCCCTGGTCCCTGGAAGGACCAAGCTGGGCAGGTGGATGAGATGATGACTGGTGGCATCGCTTAAAACCCATTGTGATGCTCTGTACCTAGGGGAAACACACTACACCCCCATGTTCATCCTTATAATATGATTGTGTGGTATCCAATGCAAAGTTTGTCATGTTGGGTGTCTTTGGAAGGCTCCAGATGCAGTAAGCATTGTTGTTATAGGTTGTAATTTCATGTATATAGTTGTGAGGCTGAAAATGTGTCCTCATGGCTTAAAACAAGCCCAGGAAAAACTCCAAGAGCAGAGGGGCAGTTCACACCTCATCAGGGCATGTATGGGAATGGGACAAACCCAACCCAGCCTCACAGGAACAAAGGACACTGGCCTAGGCAGCAACAAAGGATCTGTTGGACTCTCGAGTGAGTCACCCCCCTTCCCTTGGTCAGTTTGGGACAACGATAAGGTAATGCTCACCTGACTCTGAAGGGGGGGGGGTAAGCTAAGAGGGAAGAAAGGACATAATAAAAGGGAGAGATGTTTGCCATGCTCTTCCTCTCTCTTCTACCTCCATCTACAGACATCACCTCTAGGCGACTGAAGCGCTGATCAAAGGGGAAAGCCTGGCTGAAGGGCAACCAGCCAGCCTGTGGTGTGAAGCATCTAAGTTTGTAAGGACATTGAAAGTGGTTAAGATCAGCTTAGAATGGTTTTGCTTTTATTTCATTTGACCAAATCTGACTTGTTGTGCTTTGACTTATAATCACTTAAAATCTACCTTTGTAGTTAATAAATGTATTTGTTTATTCTACCTGAAGCAGTGCATTTGGTTTGAAGCATGTCAGAGACTCCCCTTGGGATAACAAGCCTGGTACATATCAATTTATTTGTTAAATTGACGAACTCATATAAGCTTGCAGCATCCAGCGGGCATAATGGGACACTGCAAGATGGAGGTTCCTAGGGTTGTGTCTGGGACTGGAGATATCGGCTAGTGTCATTCACTTGCAAGTAGCTGGGAGCAGCTTACATGCCAGAGGCTGTGCGTGAACAGCCCAGGAGTGAGGGTTCTCACAGCAGAGCAGGGTAAGGCTGGCTCCCAGAGTCAAGGATTGGAGTGACCTAGCAGATCACCAGTCCGGATAACACTGGAGGGGAACGTCACAGCCATCTTTGTCCTTTTTGTAGGAGCCGGAATGAGGGGTATCCCAAGATCTTGACAACAGTGGAGGGCAGAACAACTTTCTAGCCTGCTGAGGAGTATGCAGGCCCAAGGAGCAGACGGTGGCCCGGGAGTCTTTAAGGCAATGGAGTCTTGCATCAGTTAGCTCCAAGAATAGCCCTGTTTCCTCAAAAGGGAGGTCCTGGAGAGTAGTTTGCATCTCCTGGAACAGCCCGGAGGTCTGTAACCAGGAGCTGCACCTCATGACTATCGCAGAGGTGACCACTCTGGACACCTTGCCCTCTTCCACCAGAGTGGTGAACTCCTGCACCTGATCCTGTGGGAGGCTTTCTTTGAACTTGCTGACAGAGTCACACAGGTTGAAATTGTATCTGCCAAGTAGATCCTGATCACTAGAGATCCTAAATCGGAAGCTGGGTGTTGAGTAAATTTTTCTGCCAAATAAGTCCAATCTCTTGGCATCTTTATTTTTGGGGGTGCCACTTTGCCTGTCCCTGCTTGGCCCTTTCGTTGACAGCAGACATGACCAGGGACCCCCGCAGGACAGTGCGTGTAAAGGTATTCATTCCCCTTGGCAGGGGCATAGTACTTCTTTTCTGCCTCCTTGGACATGGGCGGAATGGAAGATGGGGTCTGCCCCACCAACTTGGCGATCTTTAGGACCCCTGGGTGAACGGGCAATGCGACCCGGGTTGGGGCAGAGGAGGGAATGACATTGAAGAGGTCATCGGGTTTCTCAGCTAGCTCCTTAACCTCCAAGTTCAGGTTGGCCACCACCCTTTTAAGTAGGGCTTGGTGCTTCCTGAAGTCATTGGGGGTAGGGACTAGGTTTGCGAGGGCCTCGCCACTGCCTCATCTGGGGACGATGAGGACGAATATACTGCCAGAGGGTACTGCTGGAGCCTCCCACAAAGTTGCCGCTTCGGATTTAGTCCCTTGCTCCGACACCGGTGCTGGGTGTGCCGGCAGTAACTTGTGTGATGCAGCCTGGGAGGAGCAGTGGCAGAATAGTTCCAGCATAACAGGCACCCCTCACGGGTTCCAGTATTGCCACTGGGCAGGCCATTGTCCTTGACCCTATGCCGGTGCCGCATGCGCCTTGCTGGGTTCCCGGCTAGGAGACTATTCACCCTCTACAGGGGAAGGGCTGAACTGTCCCTTCGACCCGGACCACTATCCTTCTGGTGACCAGGGCGGGGCTGTGGAAGACTGAGTCTGTCGACTGACTCTCATTGGCGACCGGTACGGGGAAGGTGAGGGCCAGTGCCTGCCCAAAGAATGGTACCGGAGTCCTGGTGACTGGCGCCGCAACCAGGAATGGTCTCGTGCTGGAGAGGATCGATGCCTGGGAGATCTGCGAGGTGATGGCGACTGGCGTATTGGCGATCTCCGGCAGGAGGACAGTTAGTACTGAGAGTACGGGGATTGGCATCGTGACTCCGGAGTTCCATGTCTGGTAGGCGGGGATGGTGGTGTCGGATAGCTGGGCTTCCTGGCCAGAGACTGAGGTTGCAGTACCAGGGTCCTTGGCTGTGGTGAAGGGGAACGACACCTGCAGTCCAGGAACCGGGGACATTCCACTGTCCCATAACTGGCTTGGTCGTCTGAACCGGTGTCTTGGCAAGATTTGCCTGCAGCCAGGCCTCTGTGGTGCTGGTCAGCCTAACAGATCTTTGGCCACTAGGCCCGCCTTGGGCGCAGATGGCCCTGCGATAGGCTGGGACCCCCTACTGCTCACCAGAGTTGGAGTTGGGGCATTGGGGAACCCCAACCCCCCTATACCCACCTTGCCTCAGTGGCTACTGCCAGTCATCATCTAGCCCCTTCTCTCAGGGGCAAATTGCAGTCTGAAATGGCCAATTATCACTGGCAAGGGGTTAGGCCTGCTGCCTTTTCTTACTCTGGCTGCCTCCCTGCAGCCCTAGTACCTCAGGCCTTTGCCACAAGGCCTCAGCCTGGGAGGTTGCCAGGCCAGAGCTCCCCAGCTCAGCCTGCTCTTTCCCAATACTGCTCTGGCCAAGGTACCCTTGTCTCTGCCAAGCAGCTAGGTCCTTCTTGCTCCACTGCTGGAGCAAGACTCACCTCCTTCTCCCCAGGAGCCTTTCTTATACTGGCCCAGCCGGGCCCTGATTGGCTGCCTCAAGCCCACTCGTGATTGGCTCCCCGGGGAAGCCCTTTCCCAGGGCTGGTTTTAACCCGTTCCAAACTGGAGTAGGGGTGATGCCCTGCTACAGTGAGACAGAGAGTCTGTCTGTGCTGTGTGTGTGTGTGTGTGTGTGTCAGAGAGAGAGACACACACACAGAGACTGTCTGTGTGTGTGTTGGCTGCTGAGGAAGTCTATGAGAGACCGTTCGCTCTCTTTAAGGCACTCACCAGAAGGCTTGTTCAGACTGCAGCACCTGCCAACAGCTCCATCCAGCTTCTGAGCCCTGTCCCCCCTCCCCTGCTCTGCGGCGATGGGGTACATGGGCGGGGGGATGGGGACACCCTGACATCAGCACCATGCCCCTCCTCCCCTGGCTCTGCACAGCAAGCAGGAGGTTGTCCTAGGAGCAGCTGGCCAAGGGCTCCAAGGCAGAGGGCAGGAGCAATGCAGCTGCAGAGCAACAGGCGGAGGGGCTCTGCTAATCAAGTGTGCAGCACTTGATTGACTCTTGGGCGGCCACGTGGCCACACAACTTAGAGGGAAGACGGGACACCAGTAGCAGCAGTGCCCTCTGTGCCTTTGTTACCATCAGGTGTGAGATATCAGCCAAAATCACCACTGCCTGTGGAAAATAGAGCTAATATTCAGTGCCATTATCCTAGGCACATACCCATGGAATCGGGGCAGGAGGGTGGGTGGTGCGGCTGCATCCCCCCCTGTCCCGGAGCGATCGGAGAGCTGGTGGTGTGGCCGCAGCCCCCCTCCCCTCCCAGCCCCAGAGCATAGGGAGGGCAGGTCGCACGGCCAAAGCTGGTGCCACCCCACAGGGAGACTGGAGCTGTGCCGAGCAAGCAGGAAGGAGGGTCCTGGGGCATAGCATAGGCAGGGGCCACACCTATCTGTTTCGGGAGGAACAGCCTCCCTCAGCCTATGATACCTGTTGTTCTGGCAGGATCTGGCACTGCTTTCAGTTGGTGCTTCCTGGTCTGTGGGGAGCTTGCTTCTGATGATGAGCTTTGAGAAATTGTGGGGTTGTTTGAGACAGCTACAACATCACTGCATAGATTAGGAAAATACAGTCATATTTATATGGCAAGCACCACACAATTCCTAACAGCACCCAAAGCTCCAGGCCCAAAGAACAGTCTAGCACAGAACACTACTCTGGCTGACCATAAAAATGTTCTGTCAAAGCCTCCCTCAACTACATAGCTCCACATTAAACTCTTGTGATGGCCCTTGTGTCTGGCTGTTTAAAGTCAGCAGACAACAGTTCCACGTCCATTCTGGGGGCAGCTTTTCCTCCTTTGACTCTCAGATATTATGCAGGACACAAGAGGCAGCTATAACCATTGGGATATTTACTCTCACTGAGATCCAACCTAGTACGTAAACACCGCCAGAGTCCCTTCAGCCCACTAAATGCACATCCAACTGTCATTCTGCATCTGCTGAGCTGGTAATTGATTCTGCTTTTGGTGTTATTGAGATGGTAGGTGTACAGCTTGATGAGCCTGGGGAGCAATGGATAGGCTGGGTCCCCAGAATCAGTACTGTTTTTTGCGTATCATCAATAATAATCCCTAGGTTCAGGAAGAATGTCCCTGCTTGAAGCTTGTATACATTCTTCCTTTTAATTCATGCTATTAGGTAGCAAATGGTTAATATATTCTGAGAAGTTATAGATTATGGGAAGTTTATGCATAATCATTTGTTTTTTCTGTGTGTGTGTGTGTCTTGTGAGTTTTTTCCTACTAATATTTAATTACTTACTTAATTAATTGTGTATATATATATATATATACACACACACACAGAAAAACAAATAATTATGCATAAACTTCCCATAATCCATAACTTCTCAGAATATATTAACCATTTGCTACCTAATTTTAGCTACATGTAAAACATTTAATTATATATATATATATATATATATATATAGCATGAATTATTAAAATATAAAATCAATTATTTGTATTACACAATTTACAAATAAACTGAATTTGTTTAATAAAATCCAATTAGTTAAAGAAACATTATTAAGATAAAGAATAGAAGCTGTCAAGGCTGCTTTCCCACTCTGAACTTTAGGGTACAAATGTGGGGGCCTG